TCATTGCCTGCGTTCCGATCCAGTGCGATCTGCAAAAATAGTGCTTGAAGTATTTTTGCAGATTGCACTGGACCGGAACGCAGGCATTAATGTACCACGCAGGCGATCGCACTGCGGACGGGGGTGTGTGGCTGCGGTGTCATAGGTTTCAATGCGCCGCCAAGCCCCCTCCCGCCCCTGAACGCAGGGAGACAGCCGGGTTGCAATACAGTGCGTTCCAGAGGCCAAGTGATGTTTGTGGTGTGAACCGGCTCTATAACTGATGATTAAAAACGGCACCATACTTAAAACCCATTTGAGTAAACCATCATCTGTCTGTGGAAGAAAAAAACAAGTTTGCATAGCAAGTACAGGTTACACCATGTAAGATGTCAAGTCAGATCCTTACATGTGCTGATGTATTTTCATTCAATAAAAGTACAATGTTATATATACAGCTATGAAAGTAAAACGCAATAAATGTTTACACTATAGTTCTGGGAATACCCAGATATATAGAAATGATATAGAGGAAAACCATCAGAGTCTAGCCCTTACCTGTTTTGAGATTTCTTGTTTTTTACTTTATGGCTCGGTTCATAATCAGATTCGCTGTCCCTACTGCTGCTTTTCTGTCTATCCCCCCCTGAGTCAGAATCTGAACTGGAACTGGTCGATGAAGAGCCACTATCAGAACCTGAGCCGGACATCTGCCAATCTTCACTGCACATATTGAGAGGGCGGAAATGTTGAAAAGTTATAACATGCAAGCTTGCTTCAAACACACAGACACACGCACACAAAAAATAGGGAGCAAATTCCCAGTGAATCAACCACTCTGACTCTCACTTGCAAAAGGAATCCTACTCCACACACACTAACACTATTACATTTTATAATGAACACCCTAATATCCAGTATTAGGCCCTGATTAGACAGTTCTTCCTGCATCTGGATTTAGACCTATGCTGGTAAACGTACAGTGCATTCAGAAAGTATTCAGATCCCCTTCCTTTTTTTCAATTTGGTTATGTTGCAGCCCGATACTACAGTTTAAATTCTTTTTTTTTTTCTCAATAATCTACACTCAGTACCCCATAAAGACAAAGGAAAACAGAATGTTAGAAATGATTGCAAACCTATGACAATGGAAAAGCTGAAATATGACATTGGCATAAGTATTCAGACCCATTGCAACAAAACTTGAAATTGAGCTGATGTGGCTCCCATGTCTCTTGATTGTTGCTGAGATGTTTCCACACCTTGATTGGAGTCCATCTGTGGTCAATTAAATTGATTGGACATGGTTTGGAAAGGCACACACCTCTCTATAGAAGGCCTCACAGCTGACAATACATACTGTCAGAGCAAGGCCATGAGGTCAAAAGGAACTGCCTGCCAAGCTCAGAGACATGATTATTGCAAGGCACAGATCTGGGGAAGGCTACAAAAAACATCTGCTGCACTGAAGGTTCCCAAGAGCACAGTGGCCTCTCTAATTCTCAAATGGAAGATGTTTGGCACAACCATGACTCTTCCAAGAGCTAGTCGTCTGGCCAAACAGAGTAAATCGGGGAGAAGGGCCTAAGTAAGAGAGGTGACCAAGACCCTGATGGGTGACTGACTGAGCTCGAGATCTTGTGTGGAGATGGGATAAAGTTCCAGAAGGACAGCCTTCACTGCAGCCCTCCACCCATCTGTCCTCTATGGCAGAGTGGTTAGACAGAAGCCTCTCAGTGCAAAACACATGAAAGCCCGCTTGGAGTTTACATAAAAGCACCTGAAGCACTCTGACTGTGAGGAACAAGATTCTTTGGTCTGATGAACCAAGATTGAACTGTTTGGCCTCCATTCTAAATGTTCTGTCTGGAGGAAAAGAGGCACCGCTCATCACCTGCCCAATACCATCCCAACAGTGAAGCATGGTGGGCATCATGCTGTGGAGGTGTTTGTAAGCAGCAGAGACAGGGAGACAGGTCAGGGTTGAGGGAAAGCTGAATGGAGCAAAGTACAGACATATCCTCAATGAAAACCTGTTCCACAGCGCTCAGGACCTCAGACTGGGCCGAAGGTTCACCTTCTAACATGACAAGGATCCTAAACACACAGCCAAGACAACACAGGAGTGGCTTAGGGCAACTCTGTGAATGTCCTAGAGCGGCCTAGCCAGAGCCCATAGTTGAACCCTATTGAGCATCTCTGGAGAGATCTGAAAATGGCTGTCCACTGACGGTCCCCTTCCAACCTGATTGAGCTTGAGAGGATTTGCAAAGAATTGCTGAAAATCCCCAAAGCTTGTCGTGTCATACCCAAAAAGACTCAAGGCTGCAATTGCTGCCAAAGGTGCTTCAACAAAAGTACTGAGTAAAGGGTCTGAATACTTAAGTACATGTGATATTTAAGTTTTTTTATTTTTAATAAATTCAGACATTTCTAACATTCAGTTTCCACTTTATGTCATTATGGGGTACGGATTGTAGATTAATGAGGGGAAAAACCAAAACAATTTAAACAACTGTAGTATTAGGCTGCAACATAACAAAATTGAAAAAAAGGGAAGGGGGTCTGAATACATGTCTGTAAGAAAATGACACGAAATATGATTTTTTTATGTCATTCTTTTTCTCGAAGCATAGGGTGGAAAAGTTCAATAATAGATGATTGTTTCCGTTGTTGTATAAAGTTCAGAATGTGTTTAATTTAAAGTTACAAAATATTACAGGATATGGTATATCTTACAGAATGAGTCTATAAGATGCTTGATGATGACAAAATATGGTATATCTTACAGCAGAAATCTATAAGATGCTTAAGAAACGTGTGTTTAGTTAGTAAGTAAAAAATAATCCTAACAGGTGTCTGTCTATTCAATGTGAGTGTGGGTGTGTCTGTGTGATGCTGTGCATGTGTGTGTGTCTGTAGTGTGAATGAGTGTGTGAGTGTGTGAATGTGTCCCCCTTCAAGGAACATCCCTCATCCTTTTATCCATGCTTTTACTTTAAAATAACCTATGTGATGTTTACCTTAAAAGTCTTTCTGATTAGCATAAGGGAGTGCCATACTCTTAGTAGCTGAGTCATGCGTTCTCCTTCTATCCCATTTTGGGCATCATAGTCTATGTCCTGAGTAATGTGGTTTATTCTTCAAACTCATTTTGAAGGCCAAGTCTTCTTTGGGCATTCCCAACAACTGTTTCAACTATACTTAGGTCTGCCTGTCAGGCTTACTGATTGATTACCAATTGTAAACTCAAAATCAGCAGTACAGTAAAAAACTGAATCTCCAAACTTGGATAGATTAAAATATAGAAAATCAATCATCATTTAAGGTTCACACATACATATTTCAATATCTGGTTTTAACAATGTCTGCCCTCCATTTTCCATGTGGAGACAGGTATGAATGTAAACAGGAATGTTCATATTCAGAAACACTTCTTTGGGTCAAACTGCTACTAAAGTAGGCTATACACTGTGCGATTTTTGGCTAGTTCTTGATGAACCTGCCGAAATTCACGTAGTGGGTGCCCCTGTTGGCAGCCTTCTGCCCGGCGTCCCTCAATCAGCTGATTGAAGGAGCAGGCTGGAAAATCAGGCAATTAGCTGCAAGCACTGAAGCATAGATGGAAGAATCTTTTTATATTTTCTTCATTCAGTCTGCAGGTTAAACAAAGAAAATATAACTGTGTATACCCAACTTTACAGCAACTCACAGCAGGGACTGCTAGATAAACCAAACAGAAAGAGGAACCATACCGCACTCCTTACCGGGATTCCCACTTGATGAAGGTGGGTGCTCGAAATGACTGCAGATGGCACCGCCACACATGAACAATAGAAAAATGTCACCAGCACACCTTAAGTTGAAAAAGCAAAATATTTGATTGCCAATAGCTGTATCTCATTGGCAAGCGCTTTCGGGGCCTCGCAGGGTCCCCTTCATCAGGCTTAGAGAGGCTTGCCAATGAGCTATTGCTATTGGCAATAAAATATTTTGCTTTTTCAACTTATGGTGTGCTGGTGACATTTTTCTATTGCTAGATAAACCAGACTCCTGTAAGTTTACTGTCATTTGAAAGCTAGCCTCTGCCAAAGCAGTGATGTTTAACACTATTTTCTTCTACTTATTACTGTTAAAGGTACCAAGCCCGAGTGCTTTGCAACTGATCAAAAAACATTCTTACAGGGGTCAGTCTGGTCATGAAAAAAACTTAAAGGCTAAGCCCACCCTAGAGTGATATTTCAGAGTTGTGTGCGAGTTAAAAATGACCCAATGGATTTTTGAATCACTCGGGGGAAAGCATCAAAACGCTGCTGTCAATACCTTGCTCCCCTCTCCCACACTACTGCAGTAATCAAAGGCTAAATACATAGATTGATAAAATAAATGATCAGATTACAGCATAGCTAGTATTGGAGATACTGCAGAAACCTCTATGTGACTCAACCCACCACCACTACCCAAAAACTGAAAATATTCATTCTGAGTGGGATTAGCCTTTAAGCAATTTAGAATGTAACCTTTCAAAGCTTTAAAACTACAAGCGACCTATACTTCACACATTATAACACACATACCATACCCCATGTCATTGCACAACAGAATGGACCAAAACAGCAAAACGAGGGACGTACAGAACAAGAAGCAACTGCAGAATTAACCACAAGTATGCAAGCAAGAATTCAGGTTAGCACTGGCAGAACAAAGACCAAGGCAGTGCAGCTAAATACCAGAAGAAATAGTAAATCCAGAGACTTCAGACTAACACAGCTAAGTGCAAACCCGACACACTGAAAGCGAAGTTTCAGATGTAAACTGCCACTGTTGTTAGGAAAAGACCACAATGATTGGCAATGAATTATGTCAAGTTAAATATCAAGCACGCAGCTTGAAGTAATTTGTATACTCGGGGTTATCAGGAGCATTCATTTTGGAAGATAAACAAGAACTTGGCAGTGAACAAAGATTGGTGTATGAAGCAATGAAAATAACACCAGCACCGAGAAACACTTAGACAACAGACAAGGAATCAGCACATTTAGATTAGAAGCACAGACTGTAATGTGACAAATAGACTCACTCTTTATGTTTCTTCTTTTTACTTTCACTTGAAGAATCCTCATTGGATTCATCACTACTAGAGGAGTCCTACAAAGGAAAAGCCAACAAATAATTCATACAGCAACTAAAAGGTGAAAACTATAGGTGCACCGAAATGAACATTTTAAAAATATAAATAAAAAAATAATATATGTCAGGCCAAAACGGAAAATGTTTTTTTCTTTGAACTTTTTCAATTTTTATTTAATATTTTATTTTTTTATAAACTTTTAAATTTTTTTATTAATTATTATTTTCTACTTTACTTTTAGGGGCTTCGGGGAAATATTAGGGGTCTAAACAGACCCCTGATATTTCCCGTTTAAAATAGAAAAAGAGATGGAGGACACAGAGACCACAATCTCTTTTTCTGCAGCCCCTGTTATAAATGAACAGGAATCCTCTGTACTGAGTGTCCCTGTTCATTTATAACATGAGGACAGAGTGTGTTTACTATAACCACAATCATGAATGGACAGGAGATGATGTAGATCACTTCCCATTCACTCATAGTTGAGGATATAGTAACCATATTCTGTCCTTAATTATTTACAAACACTCAGCGAGCAGAGCTCAGCCTCCTGTGACAGCGCTGGCTGTCTCCGCCCACACTGCTCTGCTCCGATCTGTGACAGGAGGTCGAGCGGTGTGGGAGGAGAAGCCGGCTGCTCACAGCGCTCTCCTCCCACAGCGCTCGGCGGACTGACAGTTTCTCTCCTCCCCACTGGGACACAGAGCAGCTCCTGGCGGGGAGGAAAGAAATCACGGATGTACCGCTGTATCGGCCGCTGATATATCGCCTTTATTCCTAGAATCCAACCTCCTACAGTCAGGCCTGTAGCCACCTAGGTCTACTCTATGTCACAATTACCAAGAGAAGGCAAGACTACAGTAAAACCAGTACAATTACATGTTGCATTAGAATGTAACTAAACCCAAAAACAAAAAACTAAGATTGAATCTCATCAATCTTTAGATGTGGTGGCTACACCAGTTTTCTTTGTTCAAGCACCCCCCCCTATTTACCTAGTAATGCTGTGAATAACCCAATACCGTCCTTTGCTGTCTCCAATGTAGCTATGGGGGCTGCCATGTTTGTATGATTGTCACACAGGCTGGACTTAAAAAAAAATCTGCCTTTGTTCATCCCCACTACATAGTAGCTTTATGAGATTAGTAGTTTACAAAGGAGAGATATTTATGCGGTCTTCTCTTCTTCTCACAGGAAGTGACAAGCACACTGCATTTCTGGCAAGATCAACTGGAATTTTATGTACTAGCTAAAATGGTTCTTAGTCTGATGAACTCATTCCAATGCAGCCACCACATCTAAGGACTGGTAAGCTGCAACGTATTGGTATTTATTACTTTTTAATACATGTTCTTGAGTTTAGGTACGCTTCAAACAAACATTCTCACTAACATACTACATACCATATATGCTGTGACAATGTATTTAAATAGGTATATTAGAAGGCAGAATGTAATCCAGTCAGCAATTTTGAGGTGGAACAACCTTTAAACCAACTATATACCGTATTTTTAGCGAATCCATATCGCCCGATGCCCAAGACATGCAGTTTCGGGCGTCGGGTGTAGTTTTTTGTACATTTAGCCCTGCTAAATCAGAGCTAAATGTACAGTAGGAGCCACTGCTCGTATAATATGAGTGATCTAATCAGATCACTCGTATTAAAACCGAGCAGTGGCGGCGGCGATAGAGATCACCATAGAGCCCCTAGAGCAGACAAACGGACGTTCTTCGACTGCTCTGTGTGATCACCGAGACCGTGGCGCTGTAATCACAGCCCCACCTGCCTCAGCGGTCACTAACTGCAGCTTCTGTCACAGCTTCTGTACAGAAGCTCCGGTCTGTTCAGTGCTCCATAAGCCGCACCGGACCTCCCTGCGTCTTATGGTCCGGTGCGGCTTATGGAGCGCAAAATATGGCAAGTTGCGCCTTTATATACATGCAAACATGTATGTCGAAATTCAAATGAGTGTAATGATTCACACACCTCTGAGCCACTGTTTGAAGATGCTGGTGGTTTCTGTTGCAGTTGTTGCTGCTGCAGCTGCTGTTTTCTCAACATGGCCGATTTCTGCACAGCGAGGATACTGGGATTTGATTTCCAGAACTGTATACAAACGGTAAATATAAAAAAAAGCATTTTATGAGATATGAACTCCTCTTGCAAATTATAAGAGATATTAACATTCACATAGGCCTCCCGCTAAATATATTTGCTCGGTGAACCCCTCAGTGCATACAAATATCCTTAGCCTATTACAACACCTACATGATTAATTATAATACATTAACCACTTCCCGGCCGTTGTAAAAAAAAAAACACTGCCGGCCAGGAGCTCTCTAGATCTGAGCGGGCGTCTTTAGACGTACGCTCAGCCGCGCCGCTGGGCACGTGCGAGTGGGAAATGCCCGATATTTAAAAACAGGCAGCGATGCCTGTTAACATACAAGAGATCCGCTGGCTATGGAGCCGGCGGATCGCGTGTATGGGGTCCCGGTATGGGTGCCCCCCCCCTTCCGGTGTCACGCCGGTCCCGGTGCGAGCCCAGGACCAGCATAGTGCCTCTGTCACAGGGGATCAGAGGGAGATCGGTACACGACCTCCCTCCAGTCCCATCTCCGCTGTCAGAATGCGGAACTGATGTATATTACATCACTTCTGCATTCTTGTGTCACTCTCCAGCTTCAGATGCTGGAGAGAAGCTGATGAAGCAGATCTCTTCTTCATCAGCTTCTTCAGGGGGGTCCTACCATGTTTCCCCGAAAATAAGACAGTGTCTTATTTTTTTTTTTGCACGAAAAAAGACACTAGGTCTTATTTTCGGGGGATGTCTTACCTGGCTGGGGGAGGACCGGACGAGGTCCCGGAAGGCGGCGTATGATATTCCGCTTCCATCGTGCGTGCGGGCGGGAGCTGCGGCCGTCAGGCGTGTAGGCGGGAGCTGCTTCTGGCGTGTGGGCGGAAGCTGCGGCCGGCTGGGGTGTGGGCGGGGCGGGAGCTGCGGCCGGTCTTTAGATTCAAAATTCAGTTTATGTGCAGCTACCCCGAAAGTAAGACCTAGCGGATTTATGTAATATAAGACCTACCACCGAACTAGGTCTTATTTTCGGGGTAGGTCTTATATTACAGAAATCCCCGAAGATAGCGCTAGGTCTTACTTTCGGGGAAACACGGTAGGTGACATTAGGGGTCTTGGAGACCCCTGAGGTCTCCATAAAGAGGACCTGTCACATCTTTGCTATCACATAGGGGGCCAAGAAACCCCCCCCTATGCCATAGCAATAAAGTTAAGTGAAAAAAAAAAATGTAAGTTTCCCCCCAAAAATTTAAAGTTACACATAAAACAGAATTACTTTTTTTTTAAATTCCCCCCATACATACAGGCATGCAAACAGGCGTCGGGTACGCATACTTGCGAAAATGACGATTGCGCACATTACGCCGCACATGTTACATACCGTCGCGATCGTTGGAACGAGAGCCATAATTCTAGGGCCATCAATCACCGATAACACTAAACTGATGAGCGGTAAAAGCTTTTAAAGCGTCACCTATGGTCAATTTTGGGTATGATACTTTTTTTGCGATTTCGTGGGTGCGCGCAATTTTAAAGCTTGACATGTTTGGTGTCTATTTACCCGACGTGACCCCGACTTTTACATTTTACCACAAATATGGATAATAATCATTGTTTCCTAATATAATGAAAAATAAAACTTTTTTTCTTCAAAATGTTCTATAATTTTCCCTTAATATAGGACCAAAATACCACCAAAAGAAAGCTCTATCTGTCCCCAAAAAATGGTATACAATTAATTTCAGTACAGCGTTGCGTGACGGAATAAATTTCAGTCAAAGTACTGCAGCGCTGAATACTGAAAAATGACCTGGCCAGGAAGGGGGTCTAAACACCTGGTCTTGAAGTGGTTAAAGGGACACTAAACTCAGGAGTTTAACCTTACAAATACATTCAAGTTCCCCAACTATTAACCTCCCTGGCAGTATGATTTTTTCGTGTCATTTTTCCATTCTAATTTATTTTCAAATTTTTGCCGTTTTTTTTTTTAATATCCTGCCGGTTCCGCCCCCCTGTGACACGTACGCTCGCAAGGGACCGAACCCGGAATCGGCCGGAGTACACAGCGCGGCTCGAGGGACAAGGTAAGTAAATGCTATGCGGCATTCCGAGTGTAGCTCGGGGTTACCGCTTATGGTATGGAAAAGTAACCCTGAGGCTACACTCGAAAATACCGCCAGGGAGGTTAACAAGAATCTATCTTATTTGTGTATCACTCAGCTGTAGATCCTCAAATCATCTCTGAATTGGTACTGACATTGTCCTTACTTCTTGAGGGTGGCTACTTTTATCCCTCATGGTGCCTGTGTGTGTTGTAAAGTAGCCACGGCCCCAAGTGTCACTTTAACCCCTTTGTGACGGGAGACGTACACTGTACGTCCCGCCACAATGTGCCCAAATGACTGGCCACGTACAGTGTATGTGACCAGTTATTTTCGGCTCTGCAATGCTGGTAAACGATGAGAATCAGCGGTTACCATTCATTAATGGATGCCTCAGTATAGAGGTATCCAGTGATGAAAGAGTTAAGCTTTTTCAGACACCAGATCCCTTTCAGGAATCCGGTGTCTTGACAGTGAGAGCAGAGCCGCATTTGCAGCTCATGCCGTCAATGACAGCTGGTACAGATCGGGAAATCCCGATGTATACTGGCTTTTTTTAAAAAACTTTCAGCAATGGAAACATAATGTATCTATTCCTGAAACAATGTTGCAGTTTTCTGATCGTTGTTGGAACGATCAGAAAACCTTTAGTGACAGCTGATCCTGAGATGCTGCAGGATCAGTGTCACTAAGGTTATTATTGGCTGTTCTAAAGTTTGAAGCAGCCTAATAATAACCAGAAATTAATCAAGCAGTAATAGTGAGATTAATTCACAATGACTGCTTGATATAATTAAATAAAATAAAAACGTAAATTTTTGTAAATGTAAACGTAAATGGCTGAACCATCAGGTAAGGAGCTGTGGGGCAAAGCGCAGACTTCCTAGTGGAAGGTGGTATTGTCATATTAGAGCACTCAGGGTAAGGGAAAAATTAGATCGCTCGAAACGCTCATACACAGAACTAAGCAAAATTACACTTTAAAATACAAGTAAAGGCCGCTTTACTTTTTTCCCCAATTTTTCAATTAGTTTCATGGATTTTAAATAAACTGAATGAAAAAACTCCAAGCCAATATAAAATAACCAACCTTGTATTTAAAATAACACACCAAAATTGGCGCAGTCATCGTTTTCGTACGTAGCTGTACCCTACTTGTGTTTCCGTTAGTGTGCACGTGTTAATATATATTTTTGGGGTATTTTTAATTTTATTTTACTTTTTTTTCACAAACTGCATGGTTAAAAAAAAAGTCTACGATTTCACAATGGTGCATTACCTCAGCCCCATCCATCCTTGGTGGCTTTGACTGAACGGTTTGCTTTTGTTCTGAACTGTCCGACTCAGAGTCGGACTGGCTTCCAGATTCTGAGCCGCTATCAGAGTCACTGCTTCCAGACTGGCTACTGCTTCCATCGCTGCTGCTGCCAGATGATGACCCCGACCCAGAACCAGATTCATCATCTGCTCGGCTACTGCAGAAAAATCCATTAAAAAAACGGATAAAAGGTTGTTATTCCAACAATACAATTGTGTTCCATTACAATACAATGGTACATGATAAAACATAAGATTTGGAAAGAGGGTCAAGGAATTAAATTGATGGAAGAATTAGCTTCAGGAAGAGGTAATTAGCTTCAGGACAGTGGCTAGCATATTTCCAGATTAGATATCTGGATATACATATGAGACCGGTACTTTATCAAGAACTTTAACTCACTGAGGAATACTGTCTGAACGCTATTGAGAAAGATCATATTATTTCACGCTTATTCTGCAACTCCACGCTCATTTGCCACGACCCTACTATATGAGGAAATGGGAAAGAGATTTGGGACATACTATAGAGCTAGTGGATTGGGACAAAGCATGCAGGTGGGCATTTAAAGGACCCACAGAAACTCGAACTCAAGAACGAAATAAGATCTTAACTAGGTGGTATTGAAATTTGCTCCTGATGTCTCAGAGAAGTGTTGGCGCTGTGAGGGAAGCCATGGTACATATATGGTGGGAATGTGAAAGAGTAAAGACATCCTGGCAAAGGAATATTTGAGATATGCAGACAAACTACAGGTTGGGAGAAACCGGAGGTGGTTCTCCTGTCTATTGGCAACAAATGTTTAATAAGGGAATATTTCGCTTTCTTTAAAATGCTAGTCGAGCTCCAATCTCAAGACTGTGGAAAACATCTAAGAAGCCCGCAATAAAAGACTGGATAGTAGAAGTAAATGATATAATGCATGTGGAAGGATTATCTGCCAGAGTAAAAGAAGGGAGTGAAGCATGTGAAGAAATATGGGGCCCATGGAAAGTGTTTTTGAACTCGCCACAAATATCAAAATATTTATAAATCTGAACTGATAATTAGGGAAAGGAGCGAGACATAGAAAGCAGAACGCATCTGATATTTCAGCCCTTCCATCCACCATGTAATAGAAAAAAGAGAAACACATTGCACCTTCCACACCAGAACACACAGTAGGTGTGATTGCGTGGTGCAGCGCATTATTCGCAAAGGACTGTGTGATTACTGTACTAGTGTGAATGGGCCCTCAAAAACACTGACATACACACACAACCACAGACACAATCTCTCACACTCCCCAAAAAAATTATCATTTTTTTTCCTTTTAAGATCCACCCAGTCTCCCTACCTTATGAGAACTGGAATGGATCCTCAGACTAGGGTCCAGTGTGGAATGATGTGCTGTGATGGAGCTTTATCCATATGTGCATTGTTTGTACAGCTCCCTTGCACGCATTGTAAAGGTGCCGGGAGCCAGAATGTGATGTCAGTCAAGTCCAGGTCTCTACAGGGCACATGTGGGAGCTGTAAGCAACGCACGTATGGATGGAGCTTCCTTATGGCCATACTTCCAGCCCACCTCAAGCTGACACGCAGGGCCGGGTAGCATATTTTGAATGGCTGCTCGGCACTGCTTGCTGTGTTAGGGGGAAGCTGAGGAGTCTCTCTCCTAGAAGGAAGGCATGGAGTGACCCACTGAACATGGGGTCACAACCCACTAGTTGAGAACCAAGGGTCTAAACAGACCCCTGATATTTTCCTTTTAATATATATATATAAAAGGAGAGATTGAGGACACAATTCTAAATGTTTTTCTGCAGCCGCCGTTATGAATGAAGAGGAAGCCTCTATACTGAGTGTTCATGTCCATTCATAACCATGTCCTTAGTTAATTACAAACAGTCAGCAATCAGCTGGTTGCTGAGTGCTTGTAAGCCGCTCTCCATCCTGACACCTCCACCTGTCATAGGAGGCTGAGCAGGGAGGAGAGCTCAGCCTCCTGACAGCTCACTGCTTCCCATCCTGACTCTCCGCTTGTCACGGGACCGTGCGGGAGGAGAGATCAGCCCCCAGTGACAGCTGTCTCCACCGCGCACCGCTCAGCATCCTCCCGGTCTCTCTCCTCCCCGCTGGGCACTGGTTTGTGGCCCTTCGGATCCCTGCTGCCTCTGCCGACACCGGTGGGGGAGAGTAACGGGCATTGGATGGGACACAGACCGGGGGCCCAGTGGGGAGGAGAGAAGCAGTCAGGATGCACTGAATTTTCAGGCAAACTTTCCGAGCATCTCCAATATAAAAGGATTCTATTAATTTTTTTACACACAGCAAGAAGGGTGTTCCAGGGTTACTAGAATACAGACAAAAGGTGGATTGGACTGGCACAATATAGAAAGGTCTGGCTATAAAATGGAACAGGTTAGCAGGTAGGCTATGCTTCTGTATTTTCCCCACTGAGACTGGAGTGCACCATTAATGCTGTGACATATTCATTAAAAAAAAATATATTTTTTTTTTTCCAAATACCTAGTACAACAGTTGGTGTGCATATGGGCCTCCTGTAAACCCCCTGCACTGCACCTCCCAGACTGCAAGAGGAAGAGAAAAAGTCAGAGCCAATCAGGCCCAAATACATTCCAGTCCTATGAATCTAACAGTGGGAGCGTGCTCACAGACGAGCATAGGGATGACCATCAGCAAGCAGTAGCTCTGTCACTGCACAATCACAGACTGAGGTGGAACCTAGGCCAAGATCAGGTATCTGGTTGTGCTGTCTGGCCGGGTACCCAAAGCAGCCTGAACAGAATTCTTACCAGTTTAACAATTGTAAACCGTTGTATTTCAACTGGAAATCTTCCCATTTGCCTACAGCTGCATTTTAATGAAGAGAAAGAAAACAAATTCATACCTTGAATTTCCACTGTTAGTTTCTTCTTCACTGTGCCCGTTCATTGTCAAATATTCACAGGTTTACAAAAAAAAAAAAAGTGTACAAATCCAGAAGTTAATACTTGGTCATGAAGATGCTTGCCCGTAAAGGGGAAAACACTGCAAGAAGAGTAACAATTCCCCAAAAAAACCTGCAGAAAAAAAAAAAAAAGGTATCAAATATAATTTATTTTCTGTCGTCTAGATCTTAATTTAATACTTGTACAGCTTATTCAGGCAAATCTAGACCTAAAGCGCAATATACACGGTTATATTTTTTTCCTTGAGCTTAAAAAATATGACGGATTCCTTCACCCACAGTAAACAGTGTGGAAGAACGAACCTCCCGCTGTGCACACTGGCCGGAACCGCTGTCAAAATACCCAAACAGTCCTGGCAGCAGATTGGCTATAATCATTCAGCCGCTATAAACATTCAGCAGACAATTTTCCAATATGTTCCTTTGGGAAAAAGTTGCTCCAATGATTGACTTCTGTCGAGGGGATAGGGTAATCGACAGGTGGATGGATTTTGGACGATTCCTGCTGAATCATCTGAAATTCACTCCACATGTACCCAGCTTTAGACTGGAAATAAAACAGTTCAAATTCTGGCCGATACTAGCTGAAATCAGGCAATATTCTAACCTTAGCTGGTCCTGCAAGCATCTGGGGCTGTGGAACAGTGACTGCATCTATTAGGATGCAGTCATTGTTCAGCTGATAATTTTCCACCAGGCTCATATGATTTTTACATCGGCGAGTCCAACTTATTAGTATTAAACTAAAAGTTGTTTCCCCTCCCCCAATGTTAGTGTCAACACTTACCTTAAAGTGACATTAAACCATCAGATTTTTTAACATAAACCAATACTGTAATGTGTGCCTTACTGTAACCCATGGCCGTTTCCCTTCTCTTTGCTGCTCTTCCTTTTAAATCCTCATGTCTTCTCATGCTTGGGAAGAACTTCCCTTTTCAGCTCAGGGCCTCTTCCTGTAAACCTGCACAAACGTTTACACTTCGACTAGGTAATGGTACCCCAAATGTGGCCCCAGCAAATGCGTTTTTTTTCCCACACGCGGGGGGAATGCGGAAGGCATGTTGTCGAACGTGAGATGTACTTCTTTTGCATGGTTGGCACACCTCCAGGGACCCTATGGAGATGTGCACCATCTGGTAAACAAAGTCCCGCAAATCTGTGGGAATGTACCTTCCCGTAACGCACATCCCCGCTACTCCCAAGTGTGAATTGAACCTTTTGCGCCCTTAAACACTGAGGGTATGGAGTAATTTAGTGGAGTAAACACTGCAAAATGCTAACAAAGTTGATATTTTTTTAAATTTAAAAAACATCTTTTTAAACCGTGTCTGAAAAAGAAACTCACTGACCCTCCACATCATTACAGAACACAGTACTGACATGAAGGTGGGCAGGAGGAAGCACCGAGCACAGCGGGAACCAAGTGATCGACTTTCCCGAAATTGTCAGCTTCTGAAGAGACTTGAGGAAGATTTCTCTTCAACAAAGTGGTGGTTAGCACAGCGGAAGAGGCAGTTATTCTTCTGCAGGAACAGCTGTTTCACCTACTTAATTTACCCATCATTGTCACCCATTGTTAAATATTCAAGGGCTTCTATGACAGGAGCATCACCAGATCATGTGTTAGAGCTTTTACCTGCTTGTTAACAGATGAAAAAGTAAATTGTAAAGTAAAACTCAAATCAGCTAGAAATCCATGAAAGGGTTATTAAACCCTCACTGTTTTGCATATATCTACTGCAAGCAAACAGTAGATAAATGCAGAGAAAAAAAACCCTTTCAAACAGGTTTAAACTTACCTGCGTCTTCGTCGCGCGCTCCTGTCCAAACATCTGAAGAGACACGGGCGGCCGCAAAGGATCTTGGGGCGGGCGCATGCGCAGTTCAGATGTTCGGCCGGGAGACAAGGAGAGAGACAAGGTAAAGGTGCCCATACACCTTATGATTATCGTACGACAATCGTATGCGATCGACTTTTCGTACGACAATCGTAATGTGTGAATAGAGTGCCCGACCGATAGTACTGTACAATCGTAGGACTTTTGACGGTCAAGCATGTTTGAAAACTTTGCTAGATCGTACGATGTTCGTATGGTTGGTGGCGTTTCCGTCCGTCAAAAGTCGTACGATTAACACTGCGCATGTGCAAACGAAAATAATTGCGGTCAATTACCGCAAGTCGTCCAGGTGTTTGTTTTTTTAACTACCACTAATTGGACCTTGCGATAATCGGGGCAAGATGGGGCCGTCGTACGAAAATCGTACGACGGTTCGATCATTGGACGAAAAGTTTCGTCCGATAATCGTAAGGTGTATGGGCACCTTAAGTCTATGGACATGAGAGAAGAGGACAGGGGAGTCAGCACTGGATCAGAGACGAGGGACAACTGAAAAGGACAGTAAAGAAGATCGAATAAAGAGGCATAATTTAAGGTAAGTCCTCACACTAACATATCCAAGCTCACTCCCATGATAGACTATAACTTTAATGCAAATTAGTAAACAAAGCAAGAGACGACACCTCAACACCCAAGCCGAGCCACGCGTAGGGGGACCACCGACCCCAAAGCCATCCGGTCACGGAAAAAGAAACAAACCTTGCGTTGCTGGATGGAAAGAAACACAATCAAAAACTGAGGGACGAAGAGGGTGGGAGGGGTTTTTAAAATGTTTAATTGCGCTTCCTGGAAGATATTTGTGGGAAAGGGGTGTGCGAACGACAAGAGCAAATGAACAGAATTAAAGATCTTTTGATAGGCAAAGCAACATGCAGCAATTTATTCCAAATGTGAACAATTTGCCGGTAGTCCCCCAATAATAGTAAACTGGAAAAGTGAAATTACTGCCCTCGGCCACTTCAATCATTGGGGAAAGCAGACCAACCATCAATAGTTTGGAAAATACATTTAGTTCATTATACAGTAAAAAGAAAAAAAGATTATCAAAAGACTTTACACTCCTTAGTATGAAGATTCAAATATTCACGACTTGCCTCATACTAGAAGTAGATATTCCTCAAAACAACTACTAGAGCCACCAGCATGAAAGCTGAAGCATGACATGCAAATATAAAAACTGTTTCCTGCTTTAAGACGAATGCAAACAGGTCTGAAATGCAGGCAGCTGCCTCAATGTAATCCATGAGTAGCAAAACACTTAATAGGAAACAGAACTACTGTATCATGACCAGTCAGTTATACATGTGAAACAACACTTCATTAATGCCAAAACCAGAAAGGTGCCACAGGATCAATCGGAACATAGCTGGACAGGGAAAGAAAAAGACAAAACTATCAGCTTCAGACTAGATTTGTAATTTTTTTGGTTTGTGTGACTGTTATGCCAGTCAAAAAGCTCTCGATTTGCAACATTTTACAGCATTATTTGTGATAATTGTGTATTGAAGGGAAAATAACACGTTTTAACTTTTAGTAAGCAGTGCATAGAAGGCCTGGCAGGTTTTACCTGTGGTCTGGAGAGATTTCTCCTCATTTCCTGTTGGTACAGGAAGAGACAGGAAATTGCTCTAGTCCTGATGTGAATTAAGAATATGTAGAGCTCCGTGTAAATTGATGGTTCACCTTAAATAAAATAAAGTAGCTTGGACGTATTTTAAGTAAAATTAAAAAGGAGAACTATGGGGTTAAGGCTTTTCCCCATAGTTCTCCTTAGGGTAACGGGAGGACACAAACTAGCATCCTCCCATCACCCTAAGCTCAGTATACCGCAAGCTAGAGCTTGCGGTATACTGATACGCCGCAGCTGAAGCGGATCCCGACAATTGTGCCGGGATCTGCCGTCCGTTCCGCCAGTCAGCGCTGGCGGATCGGAGCGGGGAATCCAGCCCCTCCCCTGTCACGGCAGAGAGCTGTGACAGGATCGAGAGGTGAGCGAACGCCGGTATGTGTTCGCTCACCTCCCGATCTACTGAGCCGACCTGTGACAGTCTCATTGTCACAGGTCGGCTAGAACTATGAGGCGAGTGAAAAGCACTCACCTCATAGTTCTCCTTTAACTTTGTCGGGTTACTAACAGGCTCTGTTCACACTGGGGCGTATTGTGATTGCGCATCAAACCTGCACAAACGTTTACACTTCGACTAGGTAATGGTACCCCAAATGTGGCCCCAGCAAATGCGTTTTTTTTCCCACACGCGGGGGGAATGCGGAAGGCATGTTGTCGAACGTGAGATGTACTTCTTTTGCATGGTTGGCACACCTCCAGGGACCCTATGGAGATGTGCACCATCTGGTAAACAAAGTCCCGCAAATCTGTGGGAATGTACCTTCCCGTAACGCACATCCCCGCTACTCCCAAGTGTGAATGGAACCTGTGTGTTTTCCTATCCCGGTGACAACTGCTCCCCTAATTTATCACCCTGCTTTCAGAGTGTTGGGTTGGAAGTTAAATCTCCCCAATGGGGTCAATGCCAGCAATAACTTTAATCATCCGGACTCTGTTCAAAACCAAAAAAAAAAAAAAGAGGTTTTGTCTAGAGTTGGGTTTTAGACATTAGCAATGGAGAATAATCCTTCTCCGGATTGGTGAATTGCAAAAGGCTGATTGATTTAGGAACAGTCAGTCAATGACCCTCTAAATCAGGGCTGGACAAATCCCAGGATCCAGGTAGCCAACACTCCTTACAAATTACAGCTGGCACCTAACTTTTGAGGTTCCCTCTAGTTGAAGCCAATGGAGATGGCAATCCTGCTGCCTCCTGAATTCCATATTCATATGTCCACCCCTGATAGAGGGGATTGTGGTACTAGGGAAAGAAGAAACCAGACCTGGACAAATTCCAGGAGTCAGGTCACCAACACGCCTTAAAATGTTTAGCCAATGTCTAACTTTTGTATTTTTCTCTAGTTGTTGTCAATGGAGCTGGCTCCTGAATTCCATATTCATTTGTCAATTGCTGCTCTAAATGATTACACTGATGACAGGGCTCTCATTTCTAATGCAGGGGTGGACAAAGTAATATGGAATTTAGGAGCCAGTCTGACCACTCCAGTTGTCAGCTCCACGGACAACTAGAGGAAACCTCAAACGTTAGGAGCCAGCTGTAATAATTAAGGCACATTGGTAGCCTGGCTCCTGGGATTTGTCCA